CCACAAGGGAGGGTTCCTGCCAGTTCTAACCTCTTCTATAGAAGAGGTTTCACAAATCTACAGTGCCGTTTAGAACCGGCTCCGGCTCCCTTGCCCCCACACCCGTCCGCACATCATCAAGATGAAGAGCGAGAGGAGGAATTCTGGGAGTTGAAGTCCACAAGTCTTAAAGCTGTCAAGTTTGAACACCCCTGGTGTTTTTTTTAAAGGGTTAGGGATGCAAGGGTCTTATAACTTGATAGCTTTAAGACTTGTGTGCTTCAAATGCCAGAGTTTCTAAGCCAACATTTTGGTTGCTAAGGAAGAGCATTGTTACGTGAGTTTCACCACATTTTACAAGTTGGCTGCCCCCACCCAGTCATACAACTGCCAAGCCACTCCCACCCGGTCACATGGCTGGCAAGCCACTCCCACAAAGCAGGCCATACCTACAGAAGAGGTTCTAAAAAATTTTGAAACCCACCACTGGATATATGCCAGAAAAGTCAAGATGGTATCCACATCCTGTCAATGCCCCAGCTTTAAAGATATCCTTCTTATTGCTACATGAAAAAAAATGCAGAAAACTGGCATAAAAGAATACAGATTTTTGTATTTTACCTTTGCACACTGGTCTGTGATCGCTCCATGCTGCAAAAACTTCCGCTATCCTTTGGCAAGTAATGCTTTTTGCCCCCTGTAGCACATAGTCTTCATCACAAGAAAACTGCACTGTTGAATCCAAGCTAAAATTAAACATATCAAATGCAGGTTAATATGTGCTATATTTCTCAAAGTTTATTTGAATCTTTTTAATAATCTCTTATTACATTAATCCTGTCAGTATTCCCTTTAAGGTAAAAGTTAGTTCTGGTTTGTCTTAAAAAGAAGGTATGACTAAAAACAAATGAAGATGTGTGAAATTTGTCTCATTTCTTCCTCTTTCTGTAATTATAGTTAGCATTACATATTCAAATGGATGTATTCCAACATTCTCTTTTTCTGCCATTGTTTAATTTATTTAATGAGGAACTCAAAACCCGTTCCTCTTTTAATCTATATGTTTGCTGTTCATAAACAATTTTATGTTATGTAAAAAGTTATCTCGTTTTTTTTTTAAATGCGAGAACAGATAGATTTATGATGCTCATTCAAATATGGTAACCTTTTAATTAAGTGTACTTAAAAGCCTCATATTAATAAATACAGCTTGTCTGTGACTATAACATTACTTCATACTGATCTGACGGGGATGTAACACAAGGTAGAATGTGAAGGTCTCACAGACTGATCTTCCATTAAAATCAGAGTGATCCATGTGCTGGACCTTTGCAGAAATTTAGAAACACCTCATAAAACAAAAACCATGTCAAAATGTTTTTGAGTGGTTTCCTGGATAATAACTTACATTGGCTTGTTTACTTCCTGAGATGATACTCATATTGTGCTTTGCCAGAATGAAATATATATTAAGAATTAAGCTGAAAGAGTATTACTATATTATCCTATTTAAAGACATACATAAGCCACTGATATTGCCATAGTAGACTAATCTACCCAGGAAGAAGTGCTAATATAAACTAAACTTGCTTCTCCAGTGTGCATGCCTAAATTAGGTGATTTGGAAGAAATAGCCATGAATAAAAATACATGAAATCCATAAATTTACACTGTGACAAATTAATTCCTCTGATCAACTTTCCTTTCCAGCTGAATAAGTTGAGACCTTTTATTTTCAAAATCTAGAGCTATATTTCTTGATGGAGTTACATATACATGCATGCTACATAACCATAATGCTAAAATGAAAGACCTTCAATTGTTATATCCAATATGGCTAGTCTGACTTACAATCCAATCATTTAGTGATAATTCAAAATTATGGTGGCACTGAAAAAAGTGACTTATGATCAGTTGTCACACTTACAACCATCTCAGCATAGTCACATGTAGACATTTGGCACCAGCATATATTTACAATGACAATCCCAACCATTGTACATAAGATTGTGAGCTTTCTAGCCGACTTTTGACAAGCAAAAAGTGGATTCACTTAAAGACTGCATGATTTGTTTAACTAGGCAGTGATTAGCTTAACAACTGTGATGAAAAAACTTCATAACATTGGCGTAACTCACTTTGTTTAGCAACAGAAATTTCTGGTCTCAGAATGTTGTCAAAAGTCAAGGACTACCCATAGAGCAACAAATATTTAAATACCTACATAGATAACAACTTAATTACAGCATTCATGATCATGTTCAAGTTTGTTTTTGGAGTGGGATATATCCAATAAAATTTAAAGATAACACTCTAATGCAGGAATGGGCAACTATGATCCCTTTATGACCTACGGACTTCAATGGGGAGTCAACTCACCCCTGCTAATGCATTTGAAATTTTGGTTTGTAAATATTACCTAAAGTCTGAGCCTATTCGTTTTCCATTCTCAGGTTCTCCAGGATCTGGACACAAATTTGATGCCTGTTTGATACCTCCTTCATTTACTGCAAAATAAAAACAACATAGACAACTAGGAATTATCTTAAAATATCAAAGAAAAAAGATGTACGTTATTGTTTCAGTTTCTCCCTGCTTCCTTAATGAGCTAGATTTTTTTTAGGACACAATTTGTACTCTGGAAAAGAAAAACCAAATGTGAGTTTGTCTTTGTTATTTCTTTGAATACCGAAGAAGTTAAACATTGGTTCTAAACTTTAATTTTCATCATTTATTATGAGACAGCTGGCATTATTAGATACGTAAAAACAATAGCACTTAGACTTATATACTGCTTCACAGTGCTTTACAGTCTTCTCTAAGTGGTTTATAGAGTCAGCATATTGCCTCCAACAATCTGGTTCCTCATTTTATCAACTTTGGAAGGATGGAAGGCTGAGTCAACCTTGAGTCGGTGAAACTCAAACTGCTGAACTGCGGGCAGCCAGTGATCAGCAGAAGTAGCCTGCAGTACTGCATTCTAACCACTGTGCCACCTTGGCTAATAGATGACAAAACATCACAAATCTCCTAGATTCTGATATTAGGGATAAAAAATGGGACATATTCTTGGTATCCATTTTTATAGGAGTATTAATTCAGCAATGTGGTTTTCCTTAAGCCAAAATGCTGTGCCCAGAGTTCTAAAAGCAATTGTGAGAACAGTCATTATATTGCATTGTTATAATGTATAAATGATTATCCTTCTTCTATTTTTTTTTTTATTATCTCATTGTTTTAGTCAATTGCTATATGCCGCTGTCCAGTTTTGCTTTGTGTGAAATGGGCAGCCCGAGAAATGTGATTCATAAATAAATATAATAATACACCGTCTATTTATTTAAGCTAATATTAGTAGTGAACATTTTCTCAAATACACACATTTTTTAATTAAAAAAAATGATTTCTTTTGACTTCATGGACAAGTCCATGCATTTGTCTTGGATGTAGTGCAGGCTGCTTTGCCATTTTCTTCTGAAAAGTTTATTAACTGCCAACTTCTGGTTTTCCCTGGTTATCTTCCATCCAATTATTAACTGGACTCAAATGTGCTGAGCTTCTTAGCTCAGAGGAGAGAGCCAAGTGCTTGCCTTCCATCCAGGTACTGCTGCTCTGTGGCAAAAAGTAATCTAGATGCTTTCCTAGCAGTTCTTCGAGATCCGAGGTTATTAGATTAGACTTTTAGATTAGATTTATTTTATTTGTATGCCGCCCTTTTCCGGGAGGGACTCAGGGCGGCAAACAACTCAAGGGGGGAAAGGGAACATAGAACACAATACATGTAATTAAAATAAACAAGAATCATACAGCCACACAGGTCAAGAGGGGAGGGGAACTCATCAACCCCAGGCCTGTCAGCACAGCCAGGTTTTGACGGCTTTCCGGAAGGCCTGGAGAGAGGTGAGGGTCCGAATCTCTGCGGGGAGTTCGTTCCAAAGGGCTGGAGCTGCCACAGAGAAGGCCCTCCCCCCGGGTGGTAGCCAGATGGCATTGGCTGGTGGACGGAACCTGGAGGAGGCCGACCCTGTGTGATCTAACGGGGTCTTTGGGAGGTAATTGGCAACAGGTGGTCTCTCAAGTACCCAGGTCCAATACCATGAAGGGCTTTATAAGTTACGACTAGCATTTTGAAGAGTATCCGGAGACCGATCAGTAACCAGTGCAGCTCACGGAGGATAGGTGTAACGTGGGTGTACTGAGGTGCGCCCACAATCGCTCACGTGGCTGCATTCTGTCTCTCTGTCCCTTTCTCTCTGTCACTCTTGTTTTAGATGCCTCTTGGCAGTGGGAAGTTTTGAAGACCTGCACAACTCCTTACATTTTAATGCTACCCAAGAAAACATGAGGTGGTGATGGTAAGAGTATCGTTCTGTTCAGATACAAATTACTTCCAAGTAATTTTATCATTTGAAGATTATTTCTGCAAATGCTGAACAAGGGCTAGGAAATTCTTTTCTTTCTTTCTTTCTTCTTTTCTTTTCTTTCTTTTTCTTTTTTTCCTTTTCCTCTTTCCTTTTCAATAGACAGACAGACAGAGAGACAGAGAGAGAGAGAGACGGACGGATGGATGGACGGACAGACAAACAGACAGATAGAGGATAGATAAATAGATGATAGATGGATGGATGGACAGATGATAGATAGAAAGAAAGAAAGAAAGAAAGAAAGAAAGAAAGAAAGAAAGAAAGGTAGGTAGGTAGGTAGGTAGGTAGGTAGGTAGGTAGGTAGATGATAGACAGACAGACAGACAGACAGACATAGATAGATAAACAGACAGACAGACAGACAGACAGACAGATGAATGATAGATAGTTACTGAAAGTCAACACCATTATGATTGATAAAAAGTCTAATAGTCTCCCTCTATATGCTCTTTATCAATCACAATGGTGTTGATTCTCAGTGACCGCATAGATTCCCTCCCCCCTCCAGACAGTGCACTAATGATTAATTAACTTATACTTTACAGTTACAAAACACTATAGCTATTTCTCTCTTATTCTAAAATAAAATCACAGATACCATGTGGAGCAAATCTATTTTATAATTTATAGTTCACTCAATGACAAGAGTAAATTGTGTTTATATCTACAGTATATCTATAAAATATTGCTGGAAAAAACAAAAACTTTGTGATGTAACTTTTTGATCACATAGGTGACAAGGTTACTAGGACCAAATTAAGATCTAACAAGTAGTGGTCCAATAAGGCATGATATCCTGGGGAAAGGATAGCATTACACACATGTACTTTTAATTTCCTTTCCCCCTCAATGTCTGAACTATGGGTGAAATTCTTAGGGTGCAATGCCTTTGAGCCAAGGATTGTAATGATGGCTTAGAAGTTCAAATAAAATGGAAAAAGGTGATTAACTAAATAGATAATGTTAAGGTACATGAGGATGGAGGGAAATGACATAAAGCATTTTATTTGTTTCCAATTTGGAGTGAGAACATTATTGCTAAGTTTGAGATTGCCTTTGATCCAGAAAGATATAGAATATAATTTTTTTAACATAATGAGATGTTATTTTGGCTCATCTTTGAAATTGTAGAACCTCTCATTTTGCACATCTGACCATAAATGAGAATAAAGAGCAATTTTCCTCCAGTTTATCCAATTTGTATTAAATTAGTCTCAGTGATAATTTATTCAGAATTTATTAGCATTTTGTTTGTTTATTAATTTATTAATTCGCTGGCTTAGAATCTCAGCATCACTGTGCTACAGGACTGAGTCTGGGTGTTTCCTTTGAAAATAACTTTGAGAACAGAAAAATGGCAATAGAGAAATAAGGAGTATTTTGAATCTTCCCTGCATTACTGCAAGAACAGTAGATGAATCCATGTAATTGTACCTTTTTGAAAGCAAAATTGGATGGCTTATAGTATAAGCCTTATACCTATACTGCAATACTGCAATAATAAAATCCTATTTCTTATAATTCATCTGTTATCTTACGCACACACAGACACAAAAGCACACATACACTCCACCCCTCCTCTCAAAAAAATCTAAAGTCCAATAGGACAAACAGGTGGTGCAACAAAACTTTACAATCTTCAGTGTGCTCTTGTTTTCGTATTCCCATTCTATTCTATTCCCCTTTGTTCGTATTTTTCAATTTTATTGCATTTATTTCCTGACTTAGTTCTTTTTGAATTTCTTTGGGACTCTGTCATGAGTTTTATTTTCCCTAAATGTTTTCTGAATTTCTGAAAATCCTGAGTTTTCCATCTTGCACACTGTTGTTCAGCTGATGGTAACTACACAATGAGTGGGTTGTTTATAAATACAAATAGTGATACACACACAGTTTTACACAAATAGCTTCTAAAATGTGTGTGTGTGTGTGTGTGTGTGTGTATATATATATATATCTTCCTTCTTCTGTTTTCCTCATAGCAAACAACTCTGTGAGGTGGTTTGGGCTGAGAGAGTGAGGCCAAAGGTCACCCAACCAGCTTTCATGCCTAAGGTAGGACTTGAACTTGTAGTATCGCACCTTCTAGCCTGGTCCCCTAACCACTAGACCAAATTACTGCCATTGCAAAGTATAAAACTATACCCATCCTTGTCTTAATCTAAATTCAATTTCCTATTTTATTTTTTGCTTTGACATTTGCCATAATCAATCCAACTTTTTCAAACCTAGGTTGTATTTAAAAAGTGGAAATTAAACTTCTTAATCTTGGAAAACAAATCCAAAATGCCTGAATATTTTCCCCAACTTTAAAAAACTCAAATATTTCATTTTTTTTTCCAATCTGGTATTTATATGCATTTTCTATACGCTATTTATATGGATTTCTATGTCATACCTACAACAGGTTCTATACTAATAAATCTATTATCATATATACAGTATATATTGTATCTAAACTTTAATGTCTATAAAATCTTGAAGTATATATTGTGCTGTAGCACAGAATTATACATATTGTGAAAGTATTGGAGGAAATATTTTTATCATTATGTATCATTTATTTAATTACTTTTCATTCTTTGGTAAAAGGTATTCATAGTCTTTGTATTATATACAGTAATAACATAGATTGACTGCCTGGCTCACTTTTTAAGTATCAATTTTCCAAATAGCTAATATAAAATTGGACAGGCTTGTCTATGAATTGGCAATCTTTACTGCATTTAATTCAGGCACAGCGAAGAATATTAAGCATTACATTTTGCTGGTATTGTTAAGCTTATGATTAACTTTCTTTTATGAAAATTTCAGAAGCATTTCTTAAAAGAAAGGCCAATGCTTTCTTTAGCATGTAGAATTCTAGTTTGGTCTTTTGTATTCTTCTATATTTAAGTTTTAGATCCTAGAATGGCACTAGAAAGAAAATTGCATGTTTTCTATGCATTTCACTGTGTGGATGACATCATAATCTAGATAAATGCTGTGGGACTTCAGTGTATGTTCCTATTCTCCTATTCAGTTGTAGTAAAAGATATAATGCATTTTGATGTAATACTTTCTGATTTGTTAATCTTTCTGAT